TAATAATAATAATAATAATAATAATAATAATAATAATAATAATAATAATAATAATAATAATAATAATAATAATAATAATAATAATAATAATAATAATAATAATAATAATAATAATAATAATAATAATAATAATAATAATAATAATAATAATAATAATAATAATAATAATAATAATAATAATAATAATAATAATAATAATAATACTAATGATAATAATAATAATGATTGTAATAATTATCATCATCGTCATCACCGTTATTTGTTAATTTAATTTAAATTATCATATGCTGCATAAATTTGAAAGTATGCAACTTTATATGAAATTACATCATATTTTTTATATGAAATTACATCATATTTAAAATAATAATTATTTTTTGGTACAAATTATCAAACGAAAAATAATTTGATAACAAATTTCATAAACGCTTCCTTTTATTTTCAATTATTATCATTTTTGTTTTTTGTTTTTCCTCATTAAACAGCGCAAAATTTTTTATACGAATAAATGCTAAATTAAAATTTTTACCTGTGCAACACTAAATGCTCCAAAGCCTTGACTATGCTTAGGCATTGTAAATTGTTTAATTGATATTTGTTGTTGTCGTGAAATTTCACATGATGGCATACCTTTCATTCCACAAGGATATTGTTCATATTTTACTGCACCATTTTCACTACAAATAAAACTAGTCTTAATTTTAATTAATTATAATTAGTCAGAAAAATTCACTGAAATTGATAAATATCTAGCATGTTCAATGGTAATGATATTAATACCATCTACTGTTAATTTATCAATCAATTCAACATTTTCAATTAATATTAATTAACAAATTAATGTCTCATACTTTAATCATTTGTTGCCAATTGAAATGTCAAAAAAAAAAAAAAAATTAGCCATCCAAAAAATTGTCCTTTTAGATTCATTTCTAAGAAATTTTATTTAGTGTTCAAAAAATTGTTGAAATTACAACAAAACTTACAAATAGCATTTATATAACATATGCTTATCAACAATGATATCACCAATTTCAAGATTTCGTTTTATATCATCCATATAGCAACCTGAATTTGCAACAAAAATTTTTTTGATGGAATTATTAAAAATATGAATCATAAATTTGCATAAATTATAAAATCAAAAGTTTTCCGTTTTTTTTCTAGACATAAGAAATAATTGCGTAAAGATTTAATTGATTCAAAAGTGAAGTTTGATTTAATAAAAATTTTAAAATTTGAAAAAACAAAGTTAACTTTTTCCATCTCTTCTCTTTTTATCAAAATCTTCTTATAAAATTTTACCAATAATATCAATTATTCCATTTTTACATTTATAACGTAAATGATTTTGTTTAAATTCTTCATCTTCCTTGTATTTTTTCCCATACTTCACACAACCAGTTGCTAAAAACAGTACGAATTTTAAAATTTAATTTAATAAGAATTTCAAGCAGTATGAATTTTGGAATTTCATTTAATAAGAATTTCAAAATCTAATTTAGTAAGAATTCTGAAATTAAATTAATAAGAATGTCAAATTTTGAATTAATAAGAATTTCAAAATCAAAAAAAAAATTTGCAACAAATTAAGAAAAATAATAAAAAGTCATTTTATTTTATAAACTTCCAATTTCATTTTCCTTTCCTTTTGCTTCAACTTTTTTTTTGATTTGTTAAATTTAAGTAAACAAATAAATTAATACTTTTTGCATAGTATCGGATAACATTGTTATCATCGTCGCAATGATGTATCGTATCATCGATTTTAGCTACTGTACCTGGTTTCATATCTATCATCTTCTTATTTTTATCAAGATAATAACAACCTTAAAATAAATTTACATAAAAATATAAAAATACATTTGAAAAAAAAGCAATTAAGTGTTTTGAAATTTTTAAAAGTTTACACTTTCAAATATGCATCAATATATATATATATATTTTGTCTTTATTAATTATTTTCATTAATTTACTTACCTTATTAATTACTTAATTATTTCA